AAATCTAATAGTAGCCTTCTCTACTTACTTTAAAGCTTTAGGCTTAGTAGATAAATATATAATCTTGTAAACCTCGAGATCTAGTGATTTAGGGGCCAAAACTTAATAAAATCTTAATATCTTAATTTACTTAAGGTCTGTTTGTCGGGAATCTGAATAGGAGCTTTAAAGTAAGTAGAGAAGGCTACTATTAGATTTATAGAGTTTATCATCTACGCGTTATTAAATTTGCAGGGGTCGGTTTTTGCGATTTTTGGTGGGTTTTCGGGCGGCCAGCTTACTGATCTGGCCAGCTCACTGATCCCGCACGTTAACGTATTCTACTAGTAAGCGGCCCACCCCAGTAAGTGGCCTACACCACCAAACTTGACCTGACGTTCTGCGCAATTGAGCCACAGTAACCTAATAAAATGAGATAAAACTTAAAAAATTTAATTTATTATATAACTCTACACTGAGTTCTTGTGTGACCTTGAACGTGGCACTTTGTGCACGTCGGTGGCGCGCGCTAACGTCGCTGACTGCTCTCACCCTGTTCAGCCTCTACAACCACCCTTTCTGCCTCTGCAGCAAGCTGCTGAGCCTGGAGCACCTAGAGCACCCCACTAGAAGCAATATATTGACGCTGCTGACCCTGCTTCTGTCGCTGACGCTAATTTTCTTTACGTAGCTTCTTATTCTCCTCTGTAAGTATCGTTGCTGATTGCATTACAAGCTAAGCGCTTTTAGCAAGCTGGCGTATCGCAATACTAGTTAGACTCTCTAGCTGCCGGCGCAGTCGATCTTGGAGATAGCGCACCTACTGCTCGAGCTGTGCCACTGTATATGGTGTCTCTATCTGCTCTACTGCCTGCGCTGCAGCGTTGTTATCTATAGTAGTCTGTAGTGGAGATAGCGTTCGGACGACTGTCAGCGACGATAGAACGCGATCTGGATAAGGAGGAACAAGGCCTGTCGCCTGAAAGCCTGCCTAGATATTCTGCTGAGTAAAAACTATCGGCCGGATCCGTGTATAGGCTGTAAGAAAGTCTATCTTATCAACGTGGTAGAGGCCTTAGCGGGCGAGCTCCTCTACCTCACGTCCGTACGCGCGCTTAAGTGGGGAGAAGCAGCTTATATTAAGCGGCTAGAGAAGATGCGACGTGTGAGGCGGCATGCAGAGAGTAATAATCTTATTATTAGTATAGTACTAATTAAACTCTAGCGTGGCGTGGCTACTATATCTATCTAGAATAAGAAGACGATAGACTCCAGCTATACGAGCAGCTGTATGCTAGTTAAAATGCTTCACCCACTCTACGCTAAGCTAATTAGTCGTCCAGCCATTATCTGACACTGCGATAGTCTAGTTTAGTAGAAGGCCTTAGTACTAGCTGCTCTAGTGGGTCTTACTAGACAGAATCACGAAGGGTGGCAGAGACCAGCCAGACGCGCTAATACACTCGATTACTATCACCCACTCGCGATTACCTAGCTGGACGACGACTACTCAACTAACTCTATTAGAGCTCGTAACTACCTTTAACGTTGCAGCGACGCCCATCGCAAATCCAGTCTCGTTAAAGTTATAGATATCCTAGTTAAGAACGCTATACGTCTAACGCGTCTCTTCTATAAGCTTAAACCACGCTGCGATTATAGTAGAGTCCTCATATAAGGCGCACTAACTATATAATCGTCTAGTCCACTTTATGTAAAGCTCTAGCTGGCCTTGAATAAAGCGCGATACCCAGTTCTTGCCGACAGGTAGTAGAGGTGGATCTTGGCCACGCGCGGCGAGTAAAGCGTCTGCCATTCGTCGCACGTCGATAATATAGGGTGGAAAGCCTCGTCGATCTAGCTCTAGGATCTATTAAATAAGAGACTGCTCTTTAATAGCTAATAGCTTGCGATTGACAGAGGCTGTCTCTGATTGCGGCTGGGTACCACAGAGGCGTCGTCGGAGCGTCGTTCGTAGAGCGTCGTATAGCATAGCAGCCTAACGCTAGCTTATTACACGTTTCTCTTAAAGCGCACGAGATACTAGAAGTACTCTAGCTTCACGAGAGGTCTGTATAGAGCGTTATTATCGCGGCATTGTGGTGATTGTGTGGAGAGTCGTGTTAGATTTAGTGGGGTGGGCCACTTACTGGGGTGGGCCGCTTACTAGTGGAACACGTTACTATTTAAAGTTAAACCTAGAGTACTATAAAACGCTACCTAAAACTTAAATTTACTTAATAGTAGGCGTACAAAATCGGCTATAAGCTATATATAATATAATATTTCTATTAGTATATAACATCCTAGTTTATAAGCTATACTTTCTTACTAAAATATTCTATGTTACACGGGGTATGGGTCTATACTTCTCTATCCTGGTCCGCACTAAGGCAGGTGAGTATTACGTTAGTGTTCCGTGAGGCTTGTCTGGCGATGCAGTGGAGTTAGCGTGCTTAAGGAGGGTTTAACAAGACTAATCTATTTGATAGACTAACTTGTGACAATCTTATTAGGTAAAGATACTAGTAAGAAAGTACAATTTGAGTTGACCACAACGAGAGTAAATAATAAAATCTATCTATCCTTATATCCTTATTGCTTCTTATCCTGCCATCCCTTACTTTCTAACCTTCCCTGGGATGGTTGTGATGTTGGGGATGGCTGCTATCCTAAGGCGTCCTGCCATCCCTCGGATAGTTGCCCTTGGTGGGATAGTATATCACGTGACCTAGCCCCGCAATAATTATTACCTTCTGACGTGGACGTCTATAGGCCTTTAGCTATCTCGTTACTCGTTAAGGAGAGAATCCTTCTTATTACTTATAATATTACCTCCCCTCTTAGGGCTATCATCTTAATACCCTAAAATATTATTTTCCCGTACTGCGTATTAAGACGCCGGCTATATATAAGGTTAGAGCCCGTCCACTTATTATAGCCGTCTCTATCTCGTAGCTTTCCTAACTATGCCTAAAGTCTAACCTCCCTATTAATCTCGAAAGTATACTTTAACTAAGAAGCGCTAGTTTTGTGCTGTAAAGGTAGAAAGCGCTAGCTTAGAAATAGTTACTAAGTGCGACCGTTATAAAGAGAAGGGTCTTTATTATTTTATTAATATAGCGTCTAAGTAGTGCGCTAGTTATATTACCATAAAGGCAGAGTGTAGCCTTTTTATTTCTAATAAAGATTAGGAGAAGGTTCAGCGAAAAAAGCGTTAGAAGCGTCTTAAGATTACCTAATTAGAGGCGTAATTAGCTTAAAGAAAAGTTAAGCTTCTAGAGGCTAAAGAGTAAGAGCATTTATTTACTCGTCGTAATTTGGTAGTACTAAAAGAGTTAGAGCGCGCAAAAGAATAGGTCGCGGGGAACTTAGCTCCTAGTACTAATCCTCCTACTGTTAAACTATCGCTATCTAAACTATTAGCTAATCTAGGCAGGTTATAGGCTAATTACTATAATCCTTCTTTTAATTATTCCTTCCTCTTTAAGGGGCTCCCCCTCGCTTCTCTAGGTGCTTCTAGTAGTATTCTTGTACTAGTAACTTACAGTTCGTTAGATTTCCTTTAGGTTTCTAAGTGTTGTAGCTTTCTAGCTATCCTTGCTACTTAACTAAGTACTTCTACTAACTACTAATTTTCTATAGGTCCTTAATTTTCTTAACCTTATACTCGTCGTCTTTAAGCTCTATATCTATTGCTAGCTTAGTATTTAGAGGTGCTAGTTCTAGGAGTTTCTTATAAAAGATAGGGTGGATTTATATACCTTACAAGAGTTTTAATTTATAGTTTACTTTTCCTATTTTCTCTAGGATTTTAAATAGTTCTATTTAGAGGTTGTCCAATTTTCTGTATAGTTATTTAGTTTTTAGGTTTTATCTTAATAGGAAAACTTTATCCCTCTTCTTAAAAGTTAGTCCCTTAATCCTTTATTTATTCGCTACTTTAGATATTATAAGGTTCTATTAAGCTATATTCTTACTTAATTTTTTATATAATTCTCGTATAAGTTTTATTTTATTATCTGCTTCTACCGCGATACTTTCGATATCTCTTAGATTTGTAACGGCGCAGGCAAGACTACTCGGATCAGTATCGGCAGTAGCGTCACTCAGAGGCATATGGGAGTGCGTGGGACATCAAACGAGCCTTGATTCGAATAGACACCTATAGGCCTTGTACGAAAGGATATCAAAAATCTATCGAGCTACGGTATGGAGAAGGTGGGGTTTTATATCAGCAGATCTGCCCTCGGCTAGTGCGTGCCCATGTTCGGATCCCTTTCGGATGTTAGTTCAGTGTGTACTCGAACCGTTACACTACCCCCCCCTCTATTGACAGCTAGTCCCGTAGCTGTTGAAAAATTTTCAATGTTTATTTGTTTGTCTGTTTGCTTGATGTCGTCATCCTTCTATGCAGGGTCTCGGCCAGGCCCCGAACAGCCTCCGGGCCAAGGAGAATCCACTCAGCACGTGATATTAAATCCGTTTGCTCACTGAGTATATTAACAGCACGCGTCCATACTTGCTGTCACCAAAACACCAAAAAAATTCTACTCCTCCCACACATATACATACACACATCATGCCGTTGCGTTGCCCTGCTGGCGCGCTTCCGGAGGCGTACCGCCTCATCTGTCTTCGTTCAGTTCGTGCCTTTGCGCGCGGAGTCCACAATGTGGACTACCGTTTCGGTGCCGCGGGGTCCAAGAAGTGCAATTATTGCACTCAGCAGAAGGAGAAGTGCTCCCCTGTAAGTTTTTCAATCCTTCAATTGTAGACGTTACTAACTCTGA